AGTTTTCTCCTTCCCCACTCTCCCCAGGTTATCTGCTGAATTCCACACACGCCTGCACAGAGGGGATCAATCCAAGGCTGCCTCGCCTTCAGCTTATCTCTGCTCCAAATGATTGATTTTCCCTCTTTAAGGGTAATTTGCTGGTGAATTCCATGTATTGCAAAAACCCCTGTGAAATCTAATTCAGCCCGACTGGCAGCTGGCACTTTTGGGAGAGAATACTCAAGCACTGTCAATTCCCCTTACAGTTTCTTGCCGTGTAGATCATATTTATAGTGCACGTGTCTGTCATATGCATATATATGCTACGAATGATTCATATATTGCACCTGCACACGCACGGGCACATATGAAATCCCTATGTGAGTCTCTGATGTAGCTTTATGCAACAAATACTCTGTACTCCCATGGCCTGGGTTTTCTTTTTTTAAATTCCCCATTTATCTTCCTCAATATGCTTATTTTGGAGAACTGTTTCAAAATTATTTTAAAATGTCAGACCATCATACTTGTGCTTTATACAGTCTCTGCCCTTTTCTTCCTTTTCAGTCAACCGTGTCAAGGAAAATCAAGTGGAAAGACACGTCAGAAGAGCTGGTTTCTCTTGCGTGCCCTGGGAAAGTACACTGCCTTTTCTCTTAATATACCTCTGTGGATCTTGCAGTGATAGGAAGCTCAAAGGGGGGATGCCCCACTCCTTTTCCTGCCTGGCCAAATCCTTGCCTTCTCCCTAAAATACTGCATTAAGCCACCAGGCTGTAAAACACCAGCCTATCCAGAAAGGATAGGCGTGTCCCCCACCTCAGCCAGCTTTGGAGCAGATAAGCCTGAGCTAACCAGCCCTCCGAATTAAGGCAAATCTCTTCCACAGCTCAGGGCTCTTGCTCTCAAGCTGGAAACAAACCTTGCTGCAAGAGTGGGTAATTTGACACTTTAATTTTGTATCTCATATGCAGGATTTATTTGTCCCTGATGATCTGTTGCAATGTGAATGAGAGGAGAATCCAACCCCAGCCTGGGAGTGTATATACATACCGGTCTTCTGCAGTGTCCAGTTGAGTACAGGCTCAGTCTAAATACTGGAAAACTTTCACAAATTTTCATAAACAGCTCTCAAGCAGCTTTGGAAAGGTATTCAAGCAGTTTGCTGTCTATTTGGCAGACAGCAACTCAACTGCACAGAGGTTAATGCTTTCTACTTGGTTCATAGAAGTCCAGGTCCAAAATGCTGTGCACCAATTTCTCCTGTGTTCAGGTGTTTTCGATGAGCCGTAGAGAATGCAAAAAGAAAAAACAGCACACCTGGTTGAACACCTTTTGGCTGCACCCTGAATCTATGTCTGGGGTCATCATTACCTCAGCTCCACTCGGGTGCATCCTCTTGAGGTGCTCCCTGTTCCCACCTTGCACTCTCAGCTGGCTTCTCTAGGAGCAAGACCGTGACTACATTTGACCATGACAGCTAGGAGTTTGCAAGGGACAGGCTCGGAGGAATGGGTTTCTGCTTGAAGGCACCCCACTTACGTACCTTGTCGAAGAGTTAATGCCAGCCAAACTCCAGAAAGGCATTTAAACACAGAGGTAAATTCAAGCACATGCTTTCAAGTGCCGTCTTGTGTGCAACGTAAATACATTTTTAAGTGCTTTGCTGAATCATTTAATCTAATTCCTTCAAAAATCAATCATTCAAGTTTGCGCAAAACACACCAGAAGAAAGACAGACCAACACCCCACCATTTAAAAAGGCTGCGTGGGCCTGGTTACAAAACACCTTCTTGTTTAACAGCCTTGGCAGCCCATGCGGTGTGTTTCAAGGGCCAGACCCACACGACACCCCTTTCCCCAGCTCTGCAAAGACACAACTGGTGTGTGGTGGCAGGCAGGTTCCCCAAAGCCACTCAACCCCACGGAACCCTGCGCAGGGCAAGGTTCAGGCATGGGCTGCTCCATCCGAGTAGGACCTCATCAAGCTTGAGGTCTGAAGGAACAGCATCAAAATTTGCTGCAAGGGCCAGAACAAGGCTGGATGGCTTGGCTCAAGAAAGAAACCAACCTGCCAAGGGGCTCTCTGAGGACTTAACGACATGGGTTGGGAGGTAGGAGACAAAACTCGAGCAAAATGATCTTCCCGAAGACTCTAGCTTTGGTTTTGTGTCTACCCATCTGCTCTCATTTATTTATTTAGCTGCTCTCCCTGGAGACATGTATAATTCTCTTCTTGTCTTCCTTTGTCCCTTACACAAATGAATCCTGTCATCTCCAGCATGAAGGCCACGTTGGCAAAATAGCTTCTGTCAGCCACGTCCTCAGTCACATCCCTGCCCGAAGACTCCTTGCCATCCCATTCCTCCACCCCTGCACCCACAGAGAGCCAAGCGAACCTGTCGCCATCTTGGCTACCTCAAATAAAAATGGTTTGTAAAAGCTTCTCCACTCTCATGAGGTACTTGAGCATCCAAAATATCACCATCAGATTACTATCTTCCCTTTCTGTAAGTTTTTTTACTGAAAAATTAGGGGTCTTGGGACTTCTATAAACACACTGCCTAGGAAGCAGGGCTAGAAGAAGCCCGGCTGCAGATGCAGTCCTACTTCTATTTCATATACATCTTTTTCACAACCTGGGTATCCTCTCCCGATTTCTTTCCCTCAAGTGCTACTTTGATGGTTAGTCCAGTTGCAAGCATCCACGAGGGGAAATAAGAAAGATCCACCCCAGGATAATGCAGAAAAAACCCAACCAAAAAACCAATTGCTTATAACTTTCCTCCCTCCAGATATTCCAAGACATCAGCTCTCCTGTGCTTCTTATCAGTGAAAATAATGCTACGGTTAAAGCAATCCGTGCTAATAGGATGGCCTCCAAAGATGCATACAGTAAAACTCCTTCAGACTCCCTTAGAGCAAGAGGTCCTCTCTCAGCAGTTTTAAAAATCTCAGCCAATTCTTTTGGGGAAATCTCAGGAAGTTAAAGAAATACATCAAAAGAATGAGTCTATTTTTTGCTGGTGCGATCGGGAAGGCAAGGCTATTTTTTGTTCTCCCACTTTAAAATTAGCAAGGCTGAAAAGTGAATTCTTGAATGGGAGTCACTCTAGTAAAATGAGGTTTTAACCAGAAATAATGACAGATCCTTCATCCTTCTGGCACAAACAAGAGTGTTACAATGCCCTTCAAGTACAGATCTGCTGACATCTCTCAGAAAGCACGACAGTGGCTCTATTCAGAAACTATCCTAAGCATCTGTCATATCCAAATCTTCTTTATTAGCAATTGACATTTTCAAGAAAAAACAGTCTCTTTATCTGCTTAATAGCTCATCTGCACCTCTTCAGGCTGAACTCATAACTCTTGGGTGGTGACATCATGTCACAAGTGGATTATTAGTTCTGTGTCACAATCACTTCACGTGAAAAAAAATGGGATTTCTCGGTGGCTTTACGAGATGCAGCGAACTCCACCCAGCGCTGGGGAAAAGCAAATCCGTCATTTCAGCCAGCAAAGCCTTCTCAGAAGGTGCACATTGTAATTGACCCACCAGGATTTTGGGGGGCTAGGGGGAGATATTCCTCGATGCTGTCACATTGGTTACCTGAATCATCAGGAAAACATCCTGATGATGCCGTTTATTCCAAGAAACCCTCTTCCTTTGTCTCTCCCTCAGCCTGAAGAGGAATAGGGACAGCAGGAGCCTGTAGCCAGTCTTTCCGAGGGATTTCGGAAAGTTCACCATGAGGTGTCAGGACTTGTTTGAGGCAGACACCACGCAGCGTGGTGGGATTGGCACACAGAAGCAGCAAGACATGAACTGCACAAGTCAAATAATCAGAGTAATTGAAGGCTGGAAGCCCAAGGCTGGAAAACATGCTGCAATACCTATGTGGCATAGACCAGCATGTAATAAGAGCTTTATCAACACACGGGAGGAACAAGCCTCCAAGGCTCCCAGCTCGTTTGCAGTGATGAACTGGCATCCCAGTCCCCGCCACGCTTCCTCCAGCCCCACACTAGTGGGTATCTCTTACCTCCTCCCTGACAGCAGCAGTACCTGTCCCCACTGGGGCAGAGAGCCTGGAGGTCCTTTCTTTCCCCTCCCTGGCAGGTGCCCTGGGAGCCCAGCAGAAAACCTCCTCCCTTTCTAAAACAGACTGCCAAAAGATTGCCTGACCAGAGCCCTCAGAAGCTGGTGAGAATCAGCATTCCACACAATCCTATTTTCTGGCTCTCAGTGCCTGTGCAATCCTGACTGTTACGCCTGTGCTCTGGGGAGGGCATCTGCACTCATGGTACTGAGCAAGCAGAGCAACGACAGTGGTAAGAGCTGAAAAAACAGGTATCAGAACATAACCATACACCTCATCACAGGTTCATCAGTGACTTATCCTTCCCTGCACCCCCTAAAACCACACCAGTGCTACCCTACAAAGGTTGGACAGAAGTGCCCATGGCAGGGGATACCTCACCTCATCTTTGTCTTGCACCTGGATGAAGAGGGGAAGGGCAAAGCCCACCTGGGCCAGCTCTGGGATGGCCACACTGTACTCCGAGCTGTTGAACTCGGGTGCGTTGTCATTGATGTCAATGACTAGGATATTGAAGGTGGTGGTGACGGTGGCGTTGGAGGGTGTGCGGTCATCGTTCAGCTCTGTTCCCTGCAAGGAGACGAAACAACAGGGCAGCCTTTATTTTTCAAAGAATAAATGTAAAAGAAAGTGTGCATGCCAGGACTAGAGACTCTTGCAGCTTTTGCTTCCTCTGCTTTGTCAAGGAAGGAAGGATGCTCAGTTGTTTCTGCCAATGCCCCTTTACCTTTCCACACTGCTGATGCATTAACACACAGAGATGTTGACCCAGCTCTTCCATCACTTGTGTTTCAGACCCACAGCACTCTTGCAAACCTTCCTAGGGGTTTAACGTTTCCCTGCCACAAGCATTTAAACAAAAAAATTGCCTTGTGAGATGTGGGGGACAGTCCTCAAAATAAGGGAAGCCACAATGGAGCAGAGAGTACTCCTATTTTCTCCTCTTCCATCTCCTGAGGTGGGACCAGGAGCAGGGAGCTAAATACCATAGTACTACTGAAGGGACAGAAAACTAGGGCAACAGAGGAAAACAAGAGTTAGACCTTAAAATAAGGTTTGGCAACATGTATCTAAATACAGAGCTGAGTCATGACTCCATGTCACACCTCTGTCTCAAGAAGGACTTTAATTTTGCTCTCCCAAAAGGAAAGAGTACAGATTTTACTGCCAGAGAAGCAAGACTTGTGAAAGAGCCTTTTCAAGCAGACTTCCTCCTCTTGTCCTTTGGATAATCTTGCTTCGCTGTGGGCACAGAAAAGCAATGCTAACATGACCCACACGGCTCATTGCTATTCACCGCTTCTGCACACAACAGCAGAACAGGCTGATCTGAACAAGGAGCAATCCAGCTGTATTTTCACTGCATGCTCCAGGACAAGAGCAACAGAGAACATTTTGGGTCCCAAGGATGTGGGATGCAGAGAGTTGGCATTTGTGGGAGGATGCAAAGTTTGTGGGGAGAGGAAATAAAAATCTGTTGGATCAACAGAATACAATTGGAACTCCATTATCATGCAGGCAGGAAAACGGGCAAGTTTTCAGGTTTGCAAACCTTTCCAAGATTAAAAGGATATTTTTGTCTCTATTAAAACCAGACAATCTCCCCCTCTTGATTTCTACTGAATTGAAATTAGAAAAGTCCAAACCAACAGATACCAAGGATGGATGGGGGATCTCTTCCCCATGCATGAAGCCTCACAGTACGACCTGTGCCAGGGACCAAGAGGGGTTGTTTCTTGTCCCTTTGCCCCCCTGACAAAGTATTGCACTTGCCGAAATGAAATAGTGATGTGCTGGCTGCTGCCCTCGCAATCAATGACCCTTCTTCCTACAATGCTGATTTTTCCCCGCCCCAGCCCAGCAGAATCTATACTTCTAAATGTGTTTCCAACCAGCTGCCCAGCTTGGTATTGATTTTAATTACAGGGCTGCAAGCAGAGACAAGGAGTTGCTCTCAGGTGGGGCTGGAAGACCATGCTTCAGTGTCTTTTCTTGACAAGGCAACTTTCAGCATCACTCCCTCCCTGTGCCTGCCTGCCATAGGCAGATGTAGACAGTGCCCTGTTGCACTGCTGCTTGCTGACATAACAAAATGCTCCTATTTATGAGGTTCGTGTTTGGAAAGGTGTGAAATAGGCTCCAGAGGGCACAATTCAGGTGCCTGAATGTTAGGTGTCTCGTGCTATTTGCAATCCCAGAGCATCTGCATGCTGCCAGCAGATACAGCCACAGGCAGATCTCACTGGAGACCAGGCAGGGCACCAAAAATTACTTTATATACCCATATAAAGGCAACCATGTTTTCAGCCACCATACAAGAGGGCTGTGTTAAACATCTTGCTTGGCTTGGCTGCGGAACAGTACATCACAGGTCTAGATGCCTACAGGAGCAGCATGTCCCAGGTTTGCACCTCCACCTCGAAGAAGTTGTCCCCAAGCAGGATGCCCTCCCCATCCTGCTCTGCCAGTGTGCCTCCTGGACAGAGGAGGTCTCACCTTCACCGTAAGGATGAATCCAGTGCTATAGAAGGGGTTTTCCCGGTCCAGTGGCCCGTTCAGGGTTAAGGCTCCACTGATGTAGTCCAGTGCAAAGATGCTGTTGGTGTTACCTGAGGAAAAAGCCAGGCAGTGTGAGCACAAGCAGCTGGTACAACTGATGCCAAGTGGTGCTGCGGGTAATGCAGAGAGGGAAATGGGAGGACACAAGCCTCTTCCCTCACCAGTTTCCATGCATGACTGGACCCAGTGCTTGAAAGAGAGGTTTTACAGAGCAGACCTGCTGCCAGGCCAGGAGCTTCAAGCTGGGCACAGGCTGCAGTGGGCTTTGTGAACCCTGCACATTACTTCAACGTTCTTTAAAGTGTAATGGCTGTAACGGTCCTTTCCTCTCTCACCTGCCCCAGCTCAGGGCTCAAAATGGTATTTCCTTCCAACAGCCCATAAAGTTGTGAACACTGCAGGCAGCTGAAGAATTTCAAAGGGTTTTGGTTATTAAAATATGCAACAGCACAGCTGAAAACAGGGCCAAATCCAGATGCTCCCCTCCAAACAACCACATGCATTCGCAGGGCACAATGTCCCTGGGATGGGCATGGCCTCTCTCTTAAAATACAAGAGTTAAGGGACATCAGTCCACGTTAATCACAGAAGGTGCAGACGGACCAAGCTCACAAGTAATTCTTCATGTAACAAGTGGTAGTTTAACTGTGGGGCCTCTTGCCAGAAGATGCTGAGGATGATAAAAGCCCACAGGTATACAAGGAGAGACTGTGGAAGTTAGTGATAGAAAATAAAATCTACCAAATAACAGAGAAGCCACATGCAGCTCAGGGGTTTTCTTTGCTGGACATATTTGGAGCCAGTGAGAGTATTAGGATGGACTACTATAGGCGCTTTTGTGCTCTTGCCAGATGTGTTGAGTCCATGCAGCTGCCTTGTTTTCCTCTACTTGAGCCAAATTTGGCCTCTTGTGCCATTCCTTATGTGCAAGCAATCAGACAGGGTCCCACAGAGAGCTGTGCTGTCTCCTCCAAGCATCCTATCCTCTGCTTGACTCCTCTGGAATTAGATATCCAGAGATGATTAAGACAACACTTGAGTCTCAAGGCCAGCAGACGCTGAAAAACCAAATGTCCTGCACTAGGAATGCCCTTGTGACAGTCCCAAGTGCTCTGTCTGTCAGCCAGACAAAAGAAAGCAGTTGGTATGTGGAGCCTGGGATACCTGATGCCAGGCTGACACAATACCAGAGGAGGATGCTGAATTAGTGATGACCAAGGTGGTTATACACAGGCATATGGCCACCCACATCGCTCCACTCACCGTCTCACAGTATGCAGAAACCCCTGATCCAGACCCAAATGGAAGCAAGGAAACCCTGCAGGTATGCTATATTTATCCCAGTCAAAAATAAAAAACCCCTCGCCCTGTCTTCTCAATATCTCTCAGCACGAACAAAACACATACAACATTTGTCATTTCCCTGGAAGGGAGCTGCAAGACAGATCTGCTGCCACAGACAGTTGTCCCATCCCTCAGCATCCACCTCGCTTCCTTCCAATCCCCTGTTTAACCATGGCTGCACCTTTTGCACTATGGCCAAAGCCTCCAGGTCCAGCTTTCCCTTCCCTCCTAGTCCCGGGAGCCACCCTGGCCTTTATGAGCTACTGGCTGCCAGTACCTCCTCTCTCTCCCAGAGCCCTAAGTGCCATAACACCTTTCTCCCCTGTTACCGAGCCTTGTATTTTCCTCTCGGACTAAATGCTTCCCTTTTCTGCCCTTAGTCCTCTCTTTTCTCCATCTGAAATGGTCCATTGACTGCTAGCCAGCTTAATGGACTGATGCACGGCTACTTAAAATATTAGCAGCAGCCTTGCTTTTTTTTTTAAATCTAACTTCCACTGCCATACATAAAGATCTCTAGTCTCCTCTTTTCATCTTGACTTCCCACCTTTGCTCTGTAATTTATGGCTGACTCTTTAGGAGACTTCTTCTGGTAACAGCTTCGAAGGACACTCCACAAGATGTATTGAATTGTGCTGCAGGGCATTTAAATGCTCTAGGATGCCATGGTAAAGTTTATGCATCAGGGCAATCTTGGTATACTCCTCCTTATATAAAATGTAATAAAATGCCTTTTTAATCACAAGATAGTGTTCTGCTAACAGGAATCTGTAAATGTGGAGACCAATGGATTTTAATGGAAATAGGTCAATAGGACAGGAATTTGACACAAAGGACTTAACACAGAACTGAGCTCTGTGTCCCAAAAATAGTTATGTGTTTCATATTTGAACACAGTCATTTTTTTGAAGGATGGATGAATAAATTAGGGACACAAATACCCTCCCAGGCTGCACATCAGGGGCTCTTCTCTAGCTCAGCCTCCCCAACAACCCTCAGATGGCAGATATGCATCTGTTGTCCTCTGTAGTGCCTTTCTGCTAGCAGAGAACTGCTGGCTTTGCAAATTAGCCTCAGAAGGAAAAAGGTGTCTCCAACTCACCCCGCAGAGGCCTTTCATAATTTTCTCTACAGTGCCTCTCCAACAACTGCTTCATTATTCCTCTGACCAGTGATCCCCACTGAAGTACTCACACTGCCAAACAATGCACATTCCCCCGCGACACTTTCTTTGCAAAAATCTCTCTAATCATCTTCACATGTCTTCACTTCCCTTAGAGCAAGTTAAAAAAAAAAAAGGTGAGGGAAACCCAGTTGTTTTTGTATTTCCCTCCCCCCAGTCTTTCACTCTCCTCGCCTCTGTATAATTTCTCCTCCCCTCCTGGTTCTCCTGTTATCTCTCCATCATCTTCCTGGCCCAGGAAAAAGCTGAGCCTCGGTTAAGCCCAGCTTAGCCTGCCGCTGCTGGTGCAGACAGCCACACTGGCTGATGGCTTTCAACCCATTTGTCCACTCCACCACTCTTCCAGCACTTACTCTGACCTGCTCCCAGTTGCACTGGTCACAAGCTCCCAGTCAGCCACTGGCAGCCATCTGTGCCCACAGTGGCCTCGGAAGCAGGTGGCTGCCATGAGCTGAGCCAGCTTCTCATTGCGCTGCCCCAACTCCCTAGTTGGTGGCTTGCATGGCTAGTGGCCAGTGCTGCCTGCTGGGCACATCAACAGAGCAAACTGTGGTTTGCTCATCACTGGTTTTGAAGCAATAATGCAATGCACAGACGTGTGATGGAGAATACAGAGGGGATGGAGAACCTTTGCAGGGATTTCAAACCCAGTCAAGATCCCCAGATAATCCTGCTTCTCAGAGGACGTGGAACAGCACAGACTTTTCCATCTATGATCTCCAAGTTTGCACTCAGCAAACCATATTAATGACACAGATGGAAACTATTATGGCCATACTTGACAGGGAAGCCAAGTGACGTTCAAGAAGGTGCTCTTGCTGCCCCCCCCCAATCCCCGTCATATGGTCTCTCACCATCAGCTCTCACACCGTGGCACATGCAACCTCCTGCTCTGCACTAGGCAGGCAACAAAATGATCACTCACTTGGCTCAGGAGTTACCAGCTGCTGGACGTGTCCTTGATTGAGCCATCTATTGCCTAGCCTGAAACGTGGTCTGAACCACTAAAGCTTTTCTAGATGGAGATCAAGGACTTAATTTCTATGCCTCAGAGCCCAAGACCATGCTCCAGTTTCTGCTAAACAGAGGCTTACATGTCCTCCACCTCCTTCCCCATCCAGACAAGGATGTGGCACACTCACAGAGAACCAGGCAGCCCAGCTCCATGCACAGAGCAGACAAAGCTAAGGAATAAACGGGTCTTTCATCAGCAAAGGAGGAGCTCTGCTTTCAGGTGCTGGGAAAGCAAAGAAAGCCATAAGAAAAGTAGAGCAGAAAATAAACGTGAGGCTGCCTAGGAGGTAGCATCCACCGGAGAGGGACACCCTGTGGGAAGGCAGGGTCCACTTCTACCTCTCTGGTACCGCTGCAAACCTACAGAGTTGGACACAGCCAGGGACAGCAGGAGAGACCGGGAGAGAGACCCAGGGTAGGAATCAGAGAGGGGCAATGATGGGAAGGGAAAGGCTAACAGCAAAAGGGATCATAGAGAGAAGAAAAGCAAAGCAATGTTTTTAAATACTCGAAAGGACAGAGGAAAGGTGAGAACATGAAAAAAAGAATGAACTTTGGGACAGAAATATGAACGATTTCTGGCAGACTCATTGCTCTCACCTGGCAAGAAACAGGCTTGCTTAGGACATAGAAGCTCAGCTTCTCGTTATGACACGGGTAAAAGGAGAAGGAAAACTTTCCCATCTCTCTGTTCGTGTGGGGGTATGGGCACAGTAGAAGCTCCTACATCCACCACAGCTGGGCAGGGGACTGGGAAGGCAGGGACCAACACAGCGCTGGGTTGGGAGCAATGGGATGGATTGCAGTAGCCCATTTGGAGTGTTTTTCCAGGCTCACGGTGGCATAGGCATAATTTTGGAAAAACACTGCTATAACGAGGGGTTTTATAGATGAAGGCCATAATGTTTAATTACCCTCAGCCAACACTCTTACAGTTTAAAAAGGCCATTAAAAATACTGGCTCAAACCCAAGGAAAAAAAAAAGACACACACACACAAAAAAAAAAGACATTGATGTCTCCTCCTCCCTCCCTACCCCTTTGGCCTTTCAGCATTGTTCAGATCCCTAGGAGAGCGAGATGCAGTTATTGCCTAGCTCTAGCGAAGAGCTACCTATCAGCCAGGAGAAGCCAATTCCCTCATGCATGAGAATGTCCCCCCCCTCTTCTACACGAAGGGCTGTTTGTATCGGGGAGCCACATCCTCGAAAGGCACCAGGCTTGCTGAGCTGCTGACCTTGGAGCAGATGACTTTCATGAGATGTGAAAGGGGAACCCATCACACACCTTGCACCGGATAATTTATTAATCAAAATGTGCTCCGTCAGGGCTCCTTGGCACCAAAATAGATGCTGTTGGATGTGGTTCATAGAGTCAGCAACAGACACAGTTATCATCGTATAAATAGTCCATCAGCTGCCGTGACCACCTCGCTGCTCTTCACCTTGAGTTTTTGCTCCTGTGCGATATGCAGGGAAGCACTCCAGGGCAGATACCTCACTCTATGCTT